CTCTTCTCCGGCCCGTCCTTCAGCAGCAGCCTCAGCTCCAGACCTGGCAGAGGCCCCAGCCCCAGCTCCAGCTCCAGCTCCAGCTTCGGCGCCCACTGAGGCCCCAGCTCCAGCTCCAGCCCCGCAGGAGGCTTCTGCAGAGACCCCTGCTCCAGCCCCGGCGGAGGCCCCCACCCAGTACCCGAGTGAGACCCTGATCCAGACCACCTCGGAGGAGAACCAGCTGCCCTCACACCTGCCCGTCTGCCCCCCACTGCGGCACATTGCCAGCCTGCAGGGCGACGCCGTCATCCAGCTCTTCCACAGCAGCATTGCTGAGGTAGTGAGCCCGGGGCGCTGTGGGATGGCCTGCAGGCGGCCCTGGGCCCTCCGCTTCAGCTGCCCACAGCTTTGAGGCTCTGCTTCAGGAGTCCTCTTGGTTGTCTTCTCTGTCCCCACCTCCCCGTGCAGCCCCCGCCCACTCACCTTCCACTCACTCTGCTTCTGCGGTATGGACACATCTGCGAGGGGAACTAGCTGTGTCTCCATTCAAGGCCCTGGGCGTGGTCCCCGGGACCTGGCCAGCAGGGGGTGTTGCAGAGGAGGCCCCCACCCAGCCGCTCTGCCTGCAGGTGGAGAACGAGGAGCTGCGGCACCTGCTGTGGTCCTCGGTGGTGTTCTACCAGACCCCAGGGCTGGAGGCCACAGCCTGCGTGCTGCTGTCCACCAGGGCCATCTACCTCGTGCTGCACGACGGCCTGCGCCGCTACTTCTCCGAGCCGCTGCAGGGTGGGTACCGCCTGCTGCCGGGCCCGCGCCTGCGCCCGAGGAGGGCTTGGAGCTGGCATGAGGGACGTGAGGCCGGGCCCCCGGGTGCTGGTAACGGGCCGTGACGAGGCGTGATTGTGCAGCCTCTGTCCTGCCTAAGGCTCCCATTGGAGCCCCAGTGGCCTGGCCGTTCCAGAGGTGAGCCCAACCCGGACCAGGCTGTGCCTGGGCCCCACACCGGTGCCACTACCACCACAACCCTCGCGCCTTTCTCTGGCAGATTTCTGGCACCAGAAGAACACGGACTACAACAACAGCCCCTTCCACATATCCCAGTGCTTTGTCCTGAAGCTCAGTGACCTGCAGGCAGTCAACGTGGGGCTTTTTGACCAGTATTTCCGGCTGACGGGTGAGTGACCCTGTGTGTCTGTCCTGTTTGGGGTGAAGGCCAGTGTCAACGGGGCTCCCGCCTTCCCGGGGTGGTTATCTCTGCTCAGGAGCCAGCTCACGGGGCGGGAGGAAGCAGCCTGAGGATCTGCTGAGAGGGCAGAACTCGCCCGGCTCCGAGCGGAGGCCGTGTGGCAGCGCCGGCCCCGGCGGGCAGAGCAGGCCCTGGGCTGGGGGCAGGATGTTTCTGACTCACACTTCCTGAAGTATGAGCTGAGC